AGGACAAGGAACCAGGCTGAACTGGTTGTGGGGAAGCAGGGGACGTGAGGGACCCTAACTCTAGCCCAAGGGGATGGCTCAGAGATACCTGGCAAGAAGCAGGAATGAGAGCAAAGGAGGCTGGGGTCCAGACTTGCCCTGTTTCTCCATCAGCACACAAAACACTTTGTGCTCAGAACACTGACAAAAATGGCTGAGAAAAATTAGGAGGCAAGACGTAGGAGATAACTCAGTAGGCCAAGGGCTCGACACACAAGCAGAGAGGATCCATGTGAACAGCTTGGAGTGATGGCTTGTGTCTGTAATCCTAGCACCAGGGAGGCAGACAGGTGGACCCGTGAAACCAGCTGGCCAGCCAACCTAGCCTAAGTGGCCCATCTCAGGTCCCAGTGACTGATTCTGTCTCGTAACCAGATGAAGGATCCAGGGAGATGGCTCCGATGGTAAAGTGCTTGCCACATAAGCATGAGGACTTGAATTCAACTCTAAAAGGCGAGGCCCAGCCCCGTACACCTGCATTCCCAGCACTTCAGGGCTGGGATGGGGATTAGGATGGGGACAGATGTGCCCCTGGGGTTCACTGGCCAGCCAGATGATCTGAATCATAAAGCTTCAGGTTCAGTGAGAGAGACCCCTGTCTCAAAAAATAAGGTGGAGAGTGACTGAAAAAGACACCTGGTGTTGACCTCTGGCTCCCACATCGTGTTCACACACACACACGCACACGCACACGCACACGCACACACACACACACACACAGAGAGAGAGAGAGAGAGAGAGAGAGAGAGAGAGAGAGAGAGAGAGAGTTTGATGTTAGGTAAAAGCCATCATCATAGAGAGACACCCAGAAGTCCATAAGGACAACAGTCAGGGTGACAATCCTGCCTTGGCTTTGGTCCTGTGAGCCCCCAAATCTCTATTCTCAGCTCTAGGCAACGGAGAACACCAATGTCAGCTGAGACCAAATTTCCAGTCAACACATGTCAGAGAGAAACTTAATGGAACGAGCTTAAAGAGCTAACATTCATGCCAGGTATTCATGCTAATTATCACACTCACACATGTATGCACACACTCACTCGCACATACACATACATTCACACTCACATCTGTGGGGACATACACGCTCGCGCGTGTGCGCACACTCACACACTCAGTGGGGCTGGGGAGCTGGTTTAATGAGTAAAGGATTCACCATGTGAGCATATGGGCCTGTGTTTCACTCTCCAGAACTGACTTTAGTAAAACCCGGGGAAGGTAGCTTACATCTGTAATCCATCAGTGCCACTCCAGCAAGATAAGAGGTGGAGATGGGAATCCCCAGAAGCTATTTTGTCATACACACTGAAGAGACTGTCTCAGGCAAGACGAAATCCAAGAAGACAAAGAACGAGATCCAAGGCCACCTTCTGACCTCCGCAGGCCTCATATATACACACTCTCCATGAGCACATAGAATTACATCATATGAACACAAAACCCTAGAAGACCATTTCTGTCCCTTTTGCTGTGAAGAAACTAGTAAACACTAGGGTTTTTCAACTCGTGAGCTGAATACAGAACTAATGATCACCTTGGCACTAGTTTCTGAGGAGCAAAGGCCAGGAGATGGTCAATCAGGGGGCAGTGAAGCAAGGGCCAGTTCTATAGGGAGCTCTTCTTGTTCCCAATATGATGGCCATCAAGCCCTGTCCCAGCCTCCTCTGGAGGCCAGAGGCCTGGGCTGACCACCTGGCACAGTGGACCGTTACTGGCTCCCTAGAGAGCTCTGACGGTAGTAGATGCTCCCAAAGGAACTGAAGTCTCTTGCTGCCATGAAAATATGGAGACAAGTGATACTTAGAGCCTTCACTGACCTGCCTGATGCCCAGCATCCTTGATCTAAGGAAACCGAGAACAGACAGAGGCTGACAAGGAAGGAGGTATTGGGCAAAGATCGTGGGATTACCTCTAGGTCACTAGATTTGCTAGTAGACAGCCTGGAGAGCTGACCCTTTGTGGCCCCTATTTCTGAAGCAAGGGGAGGAATGACTGGTTGGGAAGTGACGACATGGGACATGAAGAGTTGAGAAGATGAATGGCCACTAGTGGAGGGGCAAAGAAGCCCATGAGAGACTGGGCTGCCAAGCAACCAGTGGAGTTTTGTCCCTGAGTTCATAGAAAAGTGAAATTGTACAGTGTATGACTGTCTTGCAATTTGGGGTGCAGAGACAGCATAGGAAGGTGCCTGAGCTCACCCACTACTGTGGCTTTTCTAGTTGGACACAACCAAACAGCGCAAGAATTCAAGCATGAGGCTCTGGTAACAGGGACAGGACTATTCTGTCTCAATGGCAGTTGGAAGGACAGCTTCATCCTCTGATCTGAGCGATGGGAGAGACTGGGGGAAGAGTCAACAGAGCCGAGGGTCCCAGTGGAGCTAAGAACGCTACTGTAGGGAGTCTGCACTCCCTCCAGGTCGTATAGTCTACCCTTTACCGGCGGTGTCACGGTATGTGGAGGTGAGGTCCTAACCAGAATTAGATCATATCTAAATATGGTCATCAGGGTGGAGCCCTCCAGATGGAATAGCCACCTTATAACAAGAAGGAGAGAGAATTTTATCTCCATTTGCATACACCAAGGGAGACCACGTGAGAACCATGAGAGGTGGCCTTCCACACCAAGAGGTACAGAGAAAACATAGAGATGCATATAAGGATATAGAAAGGCTCTTCACCAGAACCTGGCACTCTGGCACCCTAGCCCCAGACTATCTGTCTGCTGTTGTGGCACCCCAAGCAAACCGAGTTGGAGGGAAGAATGGAGCAAACTAATCAAATTATTAGCCTGTTAGCAGAGTTCAAATATGAGTTGATCCCAAGAGTCTCATGAGTGAAGTATTTGATACTGACCTGATAGCCCTATTTTAGAAGGTTCTGGAAACTTTAGGGGGTGGGACCTAGTTAAAGCAGGTCACTGGAGGCATGCCTTTGAAAGTTGTATATGGTCTCCAATTCGTTCCTTACTTCCCTAACAATCAAGAGGCAGAGAACTTCCCCCACCAACACTTCCATAGCCATGACAGCCTGCTGAGGTGTGCGCTGGGCAGCTTCGAACAAAACCTTTTGAAACCTGGAGCAGAAGTCCTCCCTCCTTGAAAGTTGCTTTGTCGGGGCTGAAGGGATAACTCAGCAGTCAGGAGACGTTGCTGCTCTTCCAGAGTACCTCAGTTCCATTCTGGTACCTACTTTGGGCAGCTTACACATGCCTGTGACTCCAGCTCAGGGGATCTGAGGCCCTCTTCTGGCCTATGCAGGTATAGCATTTGCAGAGCAGCTAAACACACAAAGCAAATTTTGAACTTGTCCTGTTGGTCACCGGTACACAGAAGTAACTAGAACAGATGCAGTAGTGAGAGAGTGAGTGGTCTGGATGAGATTTGCTCATTTTTCATTTATATTCCAGATACTTCTGAAATTTGAGTAGGAAAGGATTTTCTCCAAAGGGTGACAGCAACTGGAATTGAAGGGGTGACCATGAGGCACTTAGAAAAGTTGTAGAAGATTGGGGAACATGATCTGGAGGTATAGAGGTGGGACACACACACACACACACACACACACACAGAGAGAGAGAGAGAGAGAGAGAGAGAGAGAGAGAGAGAGAGAGAGAGAGCCCATGAGTGTCTATGGGCTTTGGTCAACAGTTCCAAGGACAGGTTTACGCCTGGTAGAGGAACTGGATGAGACAAAGAACAGGCCCCTGGGAACCATGTCAAAGTAGAGAAACAGTAAACCGAACATCTTAGGGCTTGGACATAAAAGCCAAGAATTCAAGATGTGCCGTCTGACTGCCAGAGCTCTTTGCTTTTCCTGCCTAGGCAGAGTTTGAGGTTAGAATGTACCCATTCTGCACAAGTGTGTGGGTAGTGAGAATATTGAGAATTAAGTCCAGGGCCTCCCACATGCTGGGCAAAGCCACCTACTGTAAAATGGGAAGGCTGGGGCCCAGTTTTGGAGGATCCCTGTCCCCAGTGCTTGAGATCTGAATGTTGCACCAGCCCCAGCAAAGACAACCACAGCACTGAGGGGAAGGTCTCTGTGTACTGGCCATTCTCTGTTCAACAGCACCCTCTAGGGGACAGGTGTGGACTGGCATATACTAGCCACTAAGTTCCCCCGTAAGTAAAATTTCCTTTTATTGTGATCTACCATCCCCAACCCTGAGTGATCAGGCCAGGGTGGCATCTCCTCCGGGCTCCCAGAAGTCTTAGCTTATGAACTGCCAGTGAGGAACCACTAAAGATAACCTGATTAACAGAATACGCCATAGGCAGAGAGAACCTCTAAACAACCCATGAGTGTGCCACAGTAGTGGAGCCAGCTCTTAGTAGCCATCAAGTGCAGACTGCTGATGAGCCAAGGCATGCTGGGAAAGAGCAAGCAACAGCAGCTAAGTGAAAGGAACCCTTTCTCATGCACTTGGGAAGCAGAGCACAGTGGAGTGGAGGAAGAGCTGACAAGTCTTCTCCCATTGCCAACCTCACACAGGTGAGGCACAAACTGGCCACAGGTCAGGGAGAAAGGATCTTCAAAGGACATACGGTGTAAAAATCTTCTTTCTTAGCCTGCTCCCACAGGTTCCCTAGCTGGTGCCCTGCTCTTGAGTTGGAGCTCACTTTGCTTTGGAGCAGGTTGTTGTGGGTTTGTTTTGTCTTTATGTGGATGGAGTGAGTATTGCAGACAGGGGGACCAGCGAGGCCATGATCCTAGAGAGACTGTCAGAGAAGACCAAGAACAATCCAAGCCCTGACTCAGCCGTGGTACTGGGGTGCAGTTTGTGTAGAGGAGGTGTAGAGGATGGAGAGGTACGGTCCCTGGTGTTTCCACCAGGCTCTGCAGTGTGGAGGGGGGCGGAATGAACATGGCTGGTTTGATGTGTGGTACAGATGCCATTCACACAAGAAGATAGTGTGGGCTGTCCTCTGCTCTTGATAGGCTGTCCCTTAGTGACCACAGTCAGAAGTATGAGCTGCGCATGACAGCTGTCCTCGCACTGGAAGTTCTTCCTGTAGCCTCCATGTCTTTTCTTTGGGGTGTTGTTTTGTGGGACCTGCAGGGAACAAAAGACAGTCAGTGGATACCCAATACACTGCACACGATGGTTCTCTTAACATTTCCTGCTTAAAGTAGGGGAAGCGTGCTCTAAAGCCAGTCGGATATCTGTGGTGCCAAGGGGGAAACACGATTGCCAGTAGTAGACAGAGTAAAGGTGGAGGCTGGGAGGCCTGGGCCTGGGAAGAAGCCAGCAAGTCTGTGCTCACCGTGTGGGATGCCCCTGCTCCAGGTCCTGGAGGGTATCTTTCAGGGTCTGTCCCCGTGTCTCAGGCAGCAGAGCACACAGTAGGCCTGCACCAATGGGGAGGCTGCCGAAGATGATCATGGGAATCGCATGGTGGTACTGCTCCAGTAGCATCACAAGGGGTGTGATGATGCCACTGATCCTGGCGAAGATGCTCACCAACCCCATGCCTGTTTGCCTGGGGAAAGCAACACAAGCTGAGGCTCCGCCCACTGATGGAGGATGCCCTCACTCCACAGCTCTGAGGAACCAGGTGGCAGCCACCTTTGGTCTAGCCAGGGGGCAGGCTTCCTGGACTAGCCATCCCTCTCTGTCTCCCCCTGTCACTCAAGAGACCCAAACTCCCTTTCCACTTCAGAGTGGTGCTCTCCTGGGAGCACTCCTTCCTCTCCTCTCAGCTCTTACTTCTGTCCCACATTCAGGCCGATATGGCCATGGCCTGCTTATGTCAAGGTGTCACACAAGTGACACCTTGGTGAATGGCACTAGACTTCCTAGGCC